CACTGCCCCCCGCTCGCTTCGACGATGGGCCCAGCTGTGTAGCTGATGACGTTGGACTCGCGTCCTTCCTCCACGCCTGCTGCCAATGCCTGCCCTGCTCGCACGCCTTGGCACCGCTGCTGAAGCCGACCCATTTTGACTTAATTGGGTTGGTTCCTGGCACGCACTGACAGCGTCAGCTGCCACTGTCTCGCACAAGCTATCTGATTCCCGCAAAGTATGTGGCTAAGATCCTTTTCCGCGCCTGCCGCGTAGGAGGAGGAGGGGGAGAGGAGGAAGAGAAAGAGGAGGAGGGGGGGAAGAGGAGAAGGAGGAGGTGGAGGAGGAGGAGGAGATGGAGGAGCAGGAGGAGGAGGGGCAGTGCTATTCTTGATCCGACCAGCTCGATCGTGTGTCGTGCCGATGCCTGCGCGGGGAACCGACCGGTCGAGCAATGGCACCCATGGGTCGACCTCACTTTCCTCCACGGGCGGGGTTCGTTCCCGTCGGTCAGTTCGTGCAAGTGGTCCAGTCAGCTCCCGGATCTTGGCCCAAGGTCCCTCCAACCTTTCGCGCCACTTTGGCAGCCCTCTGGGCTTCGAGAGGAGTGCTCTTGAGGCCACCTGGACCTGCCTGAAAAAGCTGGGGTCACTTTGAGTCAGCGCCGCCTCTTGCACTTGGCTGGGCGACTCTGGAGACGTCTGGCGCCCGAACTCCAGGGCCAGGCGCGCCCTTGGCGACGCCGCCAGATGCCCGGCTCTCTGGAGAGCGCCCCTGGGTTGCGCTTTGGGGAGGGGGATTATGTTAGAACTAGCACAGACTGCCTCTGGGAGGCGTCTGCTCGCAACCCTGAGCCATGCACCTGATATCTATCATAGGAGAGCACCGACACCGACGCATTTCCCTCGTCTAGTTTTCGCTTTGGGGAACCCTCCCGGGAGGCCCGTCACCACGGCCAGACCTTTTTTTTTTTGGTCAGAACGTACATCAGGAGATGTCTGGAGAGCAGCGACATCAATACGTTTGTCCCTAGGGGGTTGTCGACCCTTCTCCACTCGACTTACGGGGATAAAGCCAACTACACCGAGATAGCCTGTTGTAAACCTAACCGGCAGCAGATGTTGCAACAAACATGTCAGAAAACGTTTGCAAGCGTGGATTCCACACAGTGGATGATTGCACTCTCGATATGCGTTCTGTGTGATGCATTATCTAGTAGCCTTTTGCCTAACCCATCATCGCGCGTGGATTGTCTACCAAAGAGCTTTTGGATGTCTCTTGAGAGGCATCCTGGTGGCCTCTTGGAAGCAGTTTTGGGGGCTCTTGGAGGTCTCCTGGGTGCCTCTTGTAGGCATGTGGGGGGCCTCGTAGGGCCCCTTGGGGCCTGCTGGCAGTCTCGGGGGTCATCGTGGGGTGGAAGGCCCGAAATGTAAATCATCGCTCCCCCTCTTAAAGCCATGATGGTCCCTCTTGAGAGCTCGGGGACCCTCTTGGGCGATGTTTTGGTGCCCATTGGGGCCGTCGTGGACGCTATTAAGACCGGAGAGGCGGTCATGTTAAAATCACACTAAAGCGATCGGATGTAGACGATTTAGTCCTATTGGGCCGGCCTCGAGGGCTTCCAAGACGGCCACAGAAACCCACACCACAAGAGCACCCCAGGACGGCCCCTCGGGGCCACTCCCAAAACCCGCTCCGAAACACGCCCCAAAGCACGCCCCCAAGGCTTCGACAAAAAGCGTCATGCCACACCCCGGGAACGCACAGGAGAGACCGAGAGAGCCCGTGAGTTGGGAGTCCAGGGCCCTGAAAAGGAACATGTTCAAAAAATATCTAATACAGAGAACTCGCAGGGACCTGAGGACACTCCACTCAGTGCCTCGCGGCACGGAAGAGGGCACGGGATGCAACCCATGGGATACAGTTTATATTGTGGATGAAACGTGGTGCAAGCTTTGGAGTAAATCGTGTACAATGATGTCTATGGAGTGCACATCTATGTCTGTACATATACACATTTCTGCATAGATACGTGTAGATGTATTTGAATATACACATCGATCGGCCTATTGGGATGTATGCGATGCAAGCCATGTGGTGCAGGCCATTTGGTGACAGCTATGAAAAGCGAAATAAGTGGCAAGCTCTATGGGATGCAATCAATCGCCTCCTCAACTTGAAGCTGTCCTCTCCACTGCTCGTGCAAACATCCCACCCTCCCACCTGCAACTTGGTCGCAAGACCTCTTAAGACAAGACCGTGGCGGGAGGTACCACATGGCACTTGGCCACGACACCGACGCCGACGACGACAGCGACAACGACGACGACGGCGCCGCCGACACCGACTACGACGACACGGACGACGTCTCCAACGATTTCGGCGACGACAACGACGACGAAGACGACGACACCGACGACGACGATGACGCCGACGACGACGACGATGACAACGCCGACGACGACGACGACGCCGACGACGACGACGCCGACACCGACGCCGACGACGACGAAGACAACTACGACGACGGCGACAACGACGACAACGACGACAACGACGAGGGAGGAGGGAGGACGGCGACGACGCGAACGACGAAGAAGAAGGAAGGACGGCGACGCCGACGACGACAACGGCGAGGGAGGAGGGAAGCCGACGACGACGACAACGACGACGACGACGACGACGGCGACGAAATAGGAGGGACGAAAACGAGACGCCGACGACGGACGACGACGACGACGACGACGAGGGAGGAGGAGGAAGGACGACCACGGCGACAACGACGACGGAAATGACCACGACGCCAAAGAGGACGACGACGACGACGACGAACACGAGGAAAGACAGAGGACGACGTAGGCGACGACGACGACGACGACGACGACTACGCGGGCGGAGGGAGGACGGCGACGACGACGACACGACGCAAGAGCGCGCGCGCACGCTTTTCTTGAAAATCCGTGTTGCGAAACCTTGTGTTTATGTAGGTTTTTTTGACACACGATGTTGAAATCCTTCCGAAGCCGATGGGTGTTGAAGGATTTCGGCATACGCGCGCGACGACGCGCGCGTCTGCACTTCGTCCCATTTTGTTGCAGAGGATTCTCGCGACGGCACACGCGCAAGGGCGTACGACAGATTTCGACATGCGCGCGCGAAGCCCGTTTGGTAGCATTCTGTGAAAATCTTGAAACCCATGGTTTTCCTAAGATTTCGCAAGAGCCCGGCGGCCTCCCCGCGGGCCGCGCTCCGAGGAGGACGCGCCCGAGGAGTGCAGAAAGAGGGGCGTCGTCAAGTGCGTGAAGGCGCCCCGCCTGGCGGCTACGTGGTCTCCTCCACCTCCTCCTCCCCCTCCTCATACCCCTCCTCCTCCTCCTCCTCCTCCTCCTCCTCCTCTCCTCCTCCTCCTCCTCCTCCTGCTCCTCCTCCTCCTCCTGCTCCTCCTCCTCTCCTCCTCTCCTCCTCTCCTCCTCTCCTCCTCCTCCCTCCTCCTCCTCCTCCTCCTCCTCCTCCTCCTCCTCCTCCTCCTCCTCCTCCTCCTCCTCCTCCTCCTCCTCCTCCTCCTCCTCCTCCTCCTCCTCCTCCTCCTCCTCCTCCTCCTCCTCTCACCTCCTCCTCTCCTCCTCCCTCTCCTCCTCATCCTCCTCCTCCCCCCTCTCCTCCTCCTCCTCCTCCTCCTCCTCCTCCTCCTCCTCCTCCTCCTCCTCCTCCTCCTCCTCCTCCTCCTCCTCCTCCCTCCTCCTCCTCCTACCCCTCCTCATCCTCCTCCCCCTCCTTCTACGTACCCCTCTTCCTCCTCTTCCTCTTCCTCCTCCTCCGCCTCCTCATCATCATCCTTATCCTCCTCCTGCGCGGCCAGGCTAGCACTTGGGTGCCGCATCAGGTGATGAAATACTAGAATGAAAGTTCCTCTTACCCTTCTCCTCCTTCTCCTTCTCAGCCTCCTACCCCTGCTCCTCCTGTCCCTGCTCCTCCTACCCCTGCTCCGCCCACCCCAGCTCCTCCTCCCTCTACTTCTCCTCCCCTATGCCTCCCGGAAGCAGCAGCGGCTCGCCGCGGGGGAGATCTTCACAGGTCCCAGCCCTTCTCGACTTCTGTCGCGCACCTCCCAGCAAGAATCCGGGAGTGGCCAACACAGTCTGCATCTCCGTCCCTCCCCGAGCTCCCTTCGCGTCGTGAAACAAAATACGACGGCCCTCCTCCGCTTCCCCTCTTATCCAGGCGAGGAAAAGGCACCGATGCAGTTGCTCTTCCATCGTGTTTGCATTGTTGGTCCTCCCGGGAGGCCCTCGTCCCACGGCTGGAATCACCCCGAAATTCTGGCCAGAACGCACCCGAGGAGAGGTCCGTGATGCAGCGGTATCGGCATGTGCTTGTTTCCCACCTATATTTTCTCATCCTCCTCTCATCCCTACGGACCCCAGCAAAAATCCGGAGTGGCCCAAGCAGTGGGCATCTCCAACCCCTGACCCCCTCGCGTCGCGAAAAAAAATGTCGGCCTCTGGGGGGTTCTCGCCGGGTCACGGGACCGTCCGAAAACGACCCAGGAGGAAAAGTTGGTCTGTGAAAAAGTCGTCGAGCAATCTTTGTATTCTTCCCTGTCGGCCCATCCTTGGCCGCTTTCGCTGGTCGCGCTTCGCTCGCAAAGTGTCGGCATGGCCTTCCGAGGCCCCTGCATCCTTACAGCGCATTCTCATTATATACGGGTTGGCTGTGGCGACAGCGACGGGGTCTGGGTCTGGGGCCGCCCCGCGAGGGCGGGCTCTCTGTGGGGGGCCTCGGGCAGGCGCTTTCTCTCCCTGGCCGCCCCGCCAGGGAGGGGGGGGGGGGGGGGCGCAGCGCGCGCGCCGTGGAGGGGGAGGGTGGCGACGGCTCGCCGAGGGGGAAGTCCAGGAGGGAGAAAAGACACACGGGCACAAGGTCATCGCCGCTTGCCCCGAAGACATGGGAAAGAATTACGGGAAGTGGTGTGGAAGACGAACACCCAGAGAGTGTAGGGAATCTTGGGACGTGTGTCTATTGATGTGTACTTGGGCACCTTCAGAAGTGAGATCCTTGAGATCCTGGCGTCTCAACGTTCTCGAGCTGGGCGTTCTCGCCCGGCTTTCGGGCCCCAGGGCCCACACAGACCGACCCGGCTCGAAGAATGGCGTAGCAAGATCGGGTTCGGGGTTTGGGGTTTTGGTCGTGATGTCTCACGATGTTGAGTTTGAGTGTGATTTCCAGTCGCTTTTAACAGCCCTGTTGAAGGACGTTGCATCGCATGCCTTCGGTTGGCTGTCGTTTTTTCCGCCGAGGGTGCCTCTCACGAGCCACCCTTTCAAGCGCCGCAGGGACTGGCGCAGCCGATCCCTCTTTCCCTTTTTCCTCTCCCTCCTTCCTCTCCCCTTCCCTCCCCTTCCCTCTCTTCCTTTCTCGCTCTATCGTCTGCTGCAGTCGTGTCCCGTCGTCGTCGTCGTCGTCGTTCGTCCGCCGTCGTCGCGTCCTTCCCCCCTCGCCAGAATCGTCCCGCGCGGCAGCCTGGCGCCCGAGATGCCCCGAAAACCACTCCAGGCCTCCCAGATGGGGTCCGAGCAGATGGGGTCGGAGGATCGCGCCGCATCGCCGATGCATCGGCGATGAGGCTCGATGTGGTGCCCGATCTGATCCACGCTGACGTCACCGATGCACCGCCGACGTTGCCGACGCATCACCGATGCATCGCCGATACATCGCCAATGCATCGGCGATGCGGCGCGCTCCTCCGACCCTATCTACTAGGACCCCAATTGGGAGGCCTCTAGGAAGTGAGAGGAGGTAGGCCTTCTCAGAAGGCGGCGAAGCTTCTCAGAAGCCCTCGCCGCTTCTCAGAGGCTGTCCAAGCCTTCTCCGAAGACACAGACGGCCTCTCAGCAGGCGCACAGGCTTCTGAGAAGCACCGCCGCCTTCTGAAAAAGCCTGCCCCCTCTCACTTCACCCCTGGGCTCGCCGCCGAATGGCGGCGGCGACGACAGCGGCTTCGGCCGCTCTGGCGGCGACGGCCTCGACGACTTTGGCCACCAAGCCGCTGGCGACTTGTTCGACTTTGACGGACGGCGACTGTGCGTTTTTGGGCGACGACCACGACGGACGAGCAGAGGGACGGGGGGGCAGCACGTCACCGTGAAGAAGGGTCCTAAGGGGGAGGGGCCCCCATGCGATCTTGGCGCCAAATCTGATCCACACCCGGTGATGTCGTATTACGTCGGGCCTTGGGGCCCTCGCGGATCGTGGCGAACAGAGCAGCAGAAAGACAAGGCCTCACGCTCCGGTCGTGAATTCCACGATGCTGTAATTCTTTCGCGACGTCGGATCTCGAGGTCCTGAGGTTCGTCCCCGGTTTCGACTCTGGGCTCCCTCCCTGCGCCCCGCCCAGGGGGCGGTCAGAAAACGGCTTAGGAATAGAACAATGTCCCCGGAGAAAGTCTTCGGGCCCAGGGCTTACTTCCCTCAGCACCTCGCCCTTTCATATCAAGACAAGCTCGGATGCGCCGCCGCGGCTGACACTTCGACGAGGAGGAGGGTGCGGGGGGGGGTATGTTTTGCTGCCGGCCCGTCGCTCCCCCTAATACATCATAAGCAAGTGGCGCAGGCGCGCAAATCACCTCCTCCCCTCTTACACCCCCCTTTTCCCTGTTTCCCTTTTCCGCTTCTCATCCCGGGCTCCATTTGCATACGAAGATGCCGAGGCGAAGGGGAGCAAAGCAGCGCCGAGCACGGTTGCCGCACTCTGCTGGTATCCCGCAACTTCTGATGTCGTGCATAAACGTTACATGCCATGTGTACTCAGGGGCAGCCACATCGGTTGCTGCTTACGCGGTGCTCCCGCCGTCGCCGTGCACGGCGAGCCAGCCTGGGCTCCGCCTGTTTGAATTTCTGACTGTTCTGATTGCACATATGCGAGCATCACGAATGATGCGCCCTTCTTCCTCCCACGAGAGGCCTTCAGGCAAAACCAAAGCTAAGAACGTTCGATGGCATTCCCTCCCTCCGATTCTCGAGGGTCGGTTCTAAAACTTTGTAGGGAGTCTGGAGAATCTCGCAATCAAAGCACCAGCATGTTGCTCGCGAGCGCCTTGGCTTGAAAGACGAGTCACGGCGCCACCCCATCAGGTGTCCGCCTTTGACCCCCACCCCCGAAACAAATCAACCAAACGGGTTACATGTTTTAGGAAGATGGGGTACGGAGGAGGACAGGGGAGGGGGCAAGGAGGGGAAGGGAGAGGGAGAGGGTGTAATTAGAAGTAGGGGTGGGCGGGGTCTCTACAGCTACTCAATACGATTCTCCTCTCTCCATGGATATTGTACTGTGCGAGCGGGGCGCTGCTTCTCTCGAATATTGTATCTAGCGCACGGCATTTGAGCATGTGATGTTTGCCATGCGTGTTGTTCCAATCGGGACGTCTCTGGTGCTCCAAAACGTGCCCCCTGTTGCATCCTAGGCATCATCTCAGGATCGGCGGTTTTCTCCCGGCGTTCAGAATGGCGCTGCCGTTCCAGCGCAGACCAAACATCTAGATCCGAGTCCCTCCTCGTCGTGTTGCCGCCCATCCTTTCCTCTCGTCCGCCTTCCCCGGGTCCTCCTACTCCTCCCGCCCCGCCTGCTCCTGCTGCTATTCCTCTTCTTCCTCCTCCTCATCCTCCCCCTCCTCTTTCTCCTCCTCCTTCCTCATTGTTAGCCTCCTGCCTCATCATCATGGCTCATGGGTATCCTCCTTCCTCCCCCCCCTTCCTCAGTACAATCCTCCTTCATCATTGTTATCCTTCTTCCTCCGCCGCTTTCCTCATTATTGTCCTCCTCCTCCTTCTCCCCCGCCTCCTCTCAACTGCCGGGCTGCCGCCCGCTCGGATCTGAAAGTCGTTTGCCCGTATGCTCAAGAGCTCATCGAATCGAAACGTCAGTGGCGAGACAGATGACAGCAGCAGCAGCAAACGAAACGTGGTGACAGTGTCGCCTGTCCTTTTAGGATTTCAACACCCGTCCTCGCTGTCACCGAAATGCGGTAACGAACAAGGCTTCACTAAAGCGGAGAATGGCCGGAAAAGGGTTGAAGATGGAAATTGCTACTCATCTGTTCGGACATTGGCCTGACTCCTACGCTCATCAGCACGGCGGCGCCGTGCGGCACGGATGGCCTCCTTGGACGCGGCCGCCTTGTCGGAAACCTTCAGCGTCACGAAACCTACCTTCATCGCATTCGTGAGGTAGCTCCTCTCGGCCTCGAGCTTGATCAGCGTGTCGGCCAGCTGCACACTCGTGCCGCACCATTCCAAGTCGACTCCAT